CATAGATAATGAACCCTGTGTACCATGCCCCAGATTCACCTGGCCAGTTGATGGTGCAGCTGCTTCTTCCCCACTGGTTGCTGCGAAGCCCAGCATATATCATGATAGGCAAGATGACCAGCAGAGAAACTCCCCACACTGCCACATTGATCATCTTGGCTGTCCGGGGCCTCCTCCACTTGGCTGACTTGATAGGGTGGACCACAGCCAGGTAACGATCAATGCTCATGACTGTCAAGCAGAAAATGCTGGTGAACTGATTGATGCCATCCACAGTCATGACCACCCGGCAGATGGCCTTGCCGAAGGGCCAGTGGACTAGAGCCACCTGCATGGCCAAGAAGGGGAGCCCTAGCATGAAGAGCTCATCTGCAATGGCCAGGTTGAGGATGTAAATGTTGGTGATGGTCTTCATCTTGGCATAACGGAGAATGACATAAATGACAAGTGTGTTGCCACACAACCCAATGATGCAGACTACAAAATATATGAATGTGAGGATTGCATTGCTGGTCATGTCATAGTATAGTGTCTGGTTCGATCTGTTGGCTGCCACCACTGAGTCATTGAGGTCAAAGAGCGAGGCCAACTGCCCATGGCTCCTGTTGAGGTGCTCGTACACCATCTCCATGGTTGCCCTGCTTTTTGGTCTAGAGCCAGCCAGCCCAGAGATCTTATTCACACTGCAGTGGGCCCTGGAGGCCAAGGATCCACTGCAGCATCTGGAAGGAAAGAAAGAAGATGCACCCATCAGTCACAGGCTATTTAAGCGCTCACTGCTTTTCTGTATTTCTGCTTTATTCTCTTAGACCTACTCTTAAACTAGCAAACATCCTATCTTTCCATGTTGGTGTGACAGCTGCCAGCCTGGTCATGTCTTTATGGAGACTTTTTGAGTTCTTTTCCTTAGTGGGAGAAGGGCTTGGGTTCAGCTATCTGTTTTGGTAATGCATATGTGGGGGATGGCTGTGACCTTAAGAACACATACTTTGACCCCTCAGGTATTGACTGGTTCAAGCTGCAAAGAAGACAAAGCCTGGGGAATTTCAGACCCTGAGGGGTGGTAGGATCTCACTCTGGCATCCTGAGTCTTTTCCCTGTGAGGAAATCTATGCAGACTTGCTGCCTGCTGGGCAGTCTTTCCATTCTCAATCTCTGCAGTCTAAGAACCCTAAAATTAGAGTTAGAACAGTCCTGGTCTCTGTTGCTGAGCCCCTGTGGCCTCATGTCCAGCCCCTTACTGCTCAGACCCTTCTTTGTTAGAATGAGGGGTGCCATGGAAGGATGTGGGAAGATGTCTGCGAATGTGTTGAGCCCCTATTTGGAACCTCTAAGTCATCCCTCCCCTTTTTACTCCCACCATCTCATTATCTTCAGTTGATTGAAATCTGCCTGCATGGTGAATCAATTTACAGTCTTTGATATTAGAAATAAAAGTCTGAAGTTAGGCAAGGTGGTGCAAGCCTATAGTTCCACCACTTGGGAGGCTGAGGCAAGAGGGGTGCCCCTTAATTGAGGACAGCCTGGGCCACACAGTGAACTCAAGGGCACCCTAAACTATATCATGAGCACTGGTCTCAGAAAAATAAAAATTGTAAACGTGTGCTTTATTTAGATGTTTATCCCATTTTTGTTTCTCGAATCCCTGATACTTGCCACCTCACAATGAGGTGAGCTCTTTCCTAAAGGCCCCCCCCCCCAGGGTGCTGCTCTAGAGTATTTCTAACCCCCTGGAGAGTTTGACTGCATTCTCTGATTTAAGGACAAAAACAGGAACCAGGTGAGGGACTCGGTCTTTAGGTCTGAACACTAAGACAGTTCAGTCTCATTCCCTGGTTTCCTCATCATCCTGAGAAGCAGGATAGTATCTCGATTTTAAAGATGAGGAGATCAAGGCTTAGAGAGTTTAAGGAGTTTGCTCTCATAGTTGGCATGCTGGGATCTGAACACAGGCCACCTGAGCCTCTGTCTCCTCTGATTTTCATGGCAGCACATCTGGAAACAGACTGGAAAATGAGTAGGTGATAATTGGGGTTTGGAGTACCGGGGATATAGCTCAGTGGGACAAGTGCCTGCCTGGCACATGCAAGGTCCTGAGTTCAATTGCCAGTACAATAATAATAATAATAATTGGGCTTTGGTTTGAAGCAACTGACTCCTGTGTTACCTCTGTGCTTGCTGAGCAAATAACTGTAATGCTATTGATTTGGCTTAAGATATAAAACAACAGATTATCCCATATGTAAATGATTTATCTACAGTCATTCAAAATACATGACTGGGGGCTTCTCTGTGTTGGGCACAAAGATGTGATTGGTGCCCTCTAGGGAGTGATAATTTTGTAGGGGAGACAACATGGGAAACCAACTCATAAAAGATGTGAATTGCATAGAGAGAGGAATACAGGCTGTAGGAATTTCTTTCTTCCCTGGGGATTTAGAGAAAGCTTCACACAAGGGATTTTGGAACTGGGCCTTGGTTGTATGAAGCATGAAACAACAGGCCAGGGAGAATGAAGATGACAAGGGTTGGTGTGCACAGCACACAGTAGGACTAATGAAGCTGGCTGACACATTTTCCCTGCGCAGGATACGTTTCCTGGTGCCTGCGAATTGATGAGAGTGAAAGCTCAATGCTCACAGACAGAGCAGGTAAAGGAGATTTAGGCAACATTGATTACTAGAGCATCCCTTCCCACCTTTGTTTTGTGATTCATGCTGTATTGCCAGGCGCACTCTTTCTGTGCCAATCCCCCCCACCACCACCACCAACACACAGTGTCTGCAAAATCTGGGCTTTGTGGTCAGTCTATTTTGCAAAGTATTTTGGGGACTCTGGATTTCATGTCTGGGTTGAGTTAAAAAAAAAATCATAAACTGACAACTATTATGGAGGCTGTAAACACGCTGCTTTTAGAATCCCTGGATTAATTTATATTGTTTCCATGATCATTTTTAACCATTGGATCAGTTACTTCATTCTACAGATCCAGAATTCTATTTCAGCTGGCCACACTTGGAGCATATAAACCCTTAACCTTGCAGGAGGGCTTTATATGGACCATGAATTGGCACACTCTAATGCCTGGGTTACACTGAAGCCCCGTGGGGCCACATAAGCCCTGTTTAGGCTGATGGTGGTGATGATGGTGATAATGATGTTGCAGGAATGTGAAGGAAGGATCAGATCCTATTTTTCAGCCCTAATTGTGCCTTTTCTAGTGGACTAAAGTACATGAGGGGCAGGGGGTTTTTTTTGTTTGTTTGTTTGTTTTCCTGAAATAGGCTGAGAAGCATGTTTGAGAGGTAGCAGGAGTTGAGGTTGAAAGTCCTGGTAGAGGTAGTGGAGGTGGTGGTTGGGGAGCCAGTCTGGAGCTGGTGAGGCTCCTCCAAGGAAGAAATAAGCTCAAATCCTGTTGAGTCTCACTTAGCAAGGAACTCAGCTACCTAAGGTCTCGGAGATACTTCTGCTTCGTGCTTGGCCCACAGAGAGTGGACCATGCCAAGCAGTCGGTACTTGTTGAATTGTGGTTACATTAAATGTACAAGAACATTTGATTTTTCTGCTTTCTTTATTTTTCCAGTGTAAGCTATCTGGAATAGCCTAGCTGTTGGTTTATTCGGAGTGTAAATCCAGGCCCCGTTCAAGAGGAGAGTGACAGTGGTGATGGAATGGCGACCTGGCATCAGGCTGGCCCTAAATCCTGCTTAGTCTAGATTAAAGTCTTCCCAGCATCTTTTCCCTAGTCATCTCCCATTCCTGCCTCCCTTGCAGCCCAGCACTGGGTCTACGGGGGGTACTGGAGCCAGAGCCCCCACTGGCAGAGAGACAGCACCCGGTGGGGGCCACCGCGGCGCTAGAGCGCCAGGGAAAAGCCCTGATGCTGGCCAAAGTCGATGGGAGGAGGGCGCTTAGGACTGCGGAGCTGGAGCCAGGAAAACCCTCCTTCAACTCCGGGACCCTCAGAAAAAGGGACTCCTAAAGAATTCCCTACCATTTCAAGGAAAACGAAGGGAGTGCGAACGAAGACCAGCGTGCCAGCACGTCCAGCTGTAAACACAGAGTGAGACCAAGATGCCAGGGACAGCTGGAAGCGACGATGGTCGGTCGCTTGGGGACTTGACCATTCAGGGTTCAGTCTCTGCAGCGTCGGCAGGCTGTCGTCTCTGCCCAGAGGCAGGAGATCTGACCCCGCACCAGCACCTGTCTGCCTCCCCAGCCTGACGAGGAAAAACTAGAGGATCCCCTCTTCTCTCCGCTTGGTGCCTCCAGCGCCTGCCACTCCCAGGTTTGGAGCTCGGAATCTCGGGGATGCTTACCCGCAGGAGCCCGGGGCGGCACCTAACACATCCCTCCCGCTGGCCTTGCTCCAGGGCTTATGTGTAAGTGGCTGGGAGGGAAGTTGTCCCCAAGATAGCCGCTGGCCACTTGGGCTACAGGGCGCACGCCAGGCACACCGGCAGAGGCTGTGCAGACCAGTCGGTTCGGCACACACCCCCGACAGCCTCCGACTGACGCCAGGACACCGCTGTCATTTGTTTCCACCACAGCCACACCATCATTCCCAGCAGGCGCTCAGACGGAGAACAGTGCGCCAGGACCGGTGCTCTTCGCACTGACCCGCGCGCGGACGCCCGCGCAGCTGCACGCAGGTGCCCCAATGCACTTCTCGCTCCCTCCTTCTGTCTCTGCTCCCTGTCACACACAACACACACGCACCCACACACACCTTTACCTTGGTTTTCCGCGGCCAGCACCTAGTTGCTGCTCCTTACCAAGCCGGGTGCCAGGGAACGGAGCAGTTTGGCAGGCGCCTGACTCTGGGCGCCCCGGGCTCCCGGACCCTCAGGCTCCTGGCGCCAGCTTCCCCTCGCCCCTTGCGCGCCGGGGTGCTGACCTGGCTGCAAACCGCCAGCGCCCAGCCGCCCACTGGAGTCCTGGGTGCCGGTGGCCTTGCAAGCGCGTGCGCTCCGGTGGCTGCGCGTCTTGGACTGGCCCGGGCTGCCAGAGCCCCTCCGCACATTTCCCCCCGCACCCCCCGCCACTTACGTCACGCAGCTTCGCTCCGCCCGCCTGCCCGCCTGCCCGCCTGCCGGGTCCTGTAGGAGGACGAGGTGCGACGTGCGGAGAATACTGCGGGAGGCTGCGCGCCGAGCTCGCGGGTACCCGGGGAGAGGGAAGGAGAGGAACCTGCTTGCGGGGGGGTGGAGGGTTAAGTGACCCTAGTCTCTCCAAGACTCGCGGGCAAGGACGCGCGCTGCTTTCCCTCGAATTTTACAGAATCGATTCCCTTTCGCCCAGCACCTTCTTGGCAGCTAGTGTGGCAGTCGGGGAGAGGCGGGGCTGAGGATGGGGACCAACCACGATCCTCTCTTGCCTTGGGACCTCTGCTGTTTCTTTGTCACACAAGTTTGCAAAGCAGTGCCCACCATGGTCTAGCCCTGCTTGCAGGGTGCAGAAGCAGGGAAAGAGTACAGAGCAAAGGGGTGGGGAGGACCCCCTCTTTTCCATGCAGCTGCCAATACAGGCAGGTGTGTGAGCTGCTCCTGGGTCCCAAGATGCAGTTCAAGGAACTGCCAGGTGCTCAGCAACGGGCAGAGGCCCAGGTGTCCGGCTGTCCCATGGCTTTAGTCCGTCATTCAGCATCTGTCTGTGGACAGGAGCGGCCACTCTGCCAAATCTGTGCTGTGCTGGGAGCAAAGGGGAGCCAGCAAGAAGGAGTTATTGTTATTGGGAGTTGCAGTTATTTATTTTTTTGTCTATGATGATTCAGCCTGTGTTACAATAGTTTAATAAGTCATAATCCTGCAGCCTTCCTGTCCTCGCCCTCCTCCAAGCACACACGCCATCTCAGGTACAGTTTTAGAGGATGGAAAGTCAGAAACTAAGCCCCAAATAACTTGTTCTGTGGGTTGAGCTGCCTTGATCTGTCCAGCCTGTTATCCCGTTACCAATTCTCAGGGAAAAGCGAGTGTCCAGAAGCTGTTTAGCAGGTGGAGTGGGGGATGTGGGGAAAGAAACCAGCAGGTAAGGTAGCAGGGAGCTGCTCCTAAGCATGGAAATCAGAAACTTTGGTTGGCTTCAGGTCTTTTTTGAGATATTAGTCAACCTGGAGCTCCGGGGCTAGATGGAAACGGAACTAGTGACTGCCTGATGTCCCAGCCAACCTTGGAGTTAGTTTGTCTTTAGACTCCCAAGTGGGGGGTAATGAGGCCAGAGTGGGCTGCTCACCTGAAGAAGGGTGTGTCCCTTTCTCCCATTCTCTGGAAAAGGAAGAATTGAGCTGAGGGGAACTCCACCTTCTCTGGCAAGTTATAACCCCTATTGCAACCTCTACTTTAAAATCCATGACTCTGATGGTTTCCAGGGAAAGAAGTGCGCAAGGAAGAGCCAGGCAGTGCCCACGCTACCCTTAGATCCATTTTCCTGATACCATGTTGTCTTGTAAATGTTCTCAAACCCACTGATGACAAATTCATGTATAATTTAAAAATTAAATAACCACCCTTTTATAACCATACAAGAAACAAGCCACTGGTTGTCAAGGTTCCCTCCCTCTACACACATGGTGACGCCCATGGACATTTTATACATGTACAGTTTTGATTGTTTTGTTTTGTTTTTTTTTTTTTTTTTTTTTTTTTTGCTCTTTGGTTTTAGTATGCATTCCACCAGGAAAACGAAGCTGCTCCTGGAGGCTCAGCTGAATAGTCATCTCCAGTTGAGGCAAGTCAGCAAGTGGTTGTGTCTCTGTATGCGCTTGAACTTGGATGACCAGAGACAGTGGAACCCTCTTCTGTGCACTGAATAGGAGGCCCACCCCGGAAGAGTACTGGGCCCGTCCACCTCAAGTACACTTGACTTTAGTGCCGCTGGCTGGGTGGGATCTGAATGTACTTATCCACTTTGATGGGAGAAAAGGTATCATTTAAACAATTCTTGAAAATTTCATCTGGTTCCTGTATTCCTTCTCTGCCTTTCCCACCTCCAAAGAGCTACCACCTGTGCTCAACAGCCCAAGTTCCCATCCCGATTGCCTCCTGCCTCTTTGGCTCCCCAGAGTGGCGTCTCTGCCAAGGTTGCTGTTACCCACATGGGGCCAGCTCTCCTGCAGCAGGGTCAGTAACTAAGTAACAAAACCTTTAGCCAAAAAAATAGAGAGGTTGGGAAGCAGATAACCTCCCCACTGGCTTGTTTGATATTTTACAGCAATTAAATAACACTTTTTCCCTTTTCAACACTTATCAGAGGAACAACAGACAGCAGGAAATTAAGAACAGGGCAGGACAAAGGGCCAGGACAGTGCTCAGCTCCTAACCCAGGAGGTGTACTCTGCTCTTGCTTTGAGAAGTTCTCAGCCTGGGAGCTCCGCTGGGAAGACATCAGACTCCCAAGTAGGTCATTACGTCTTGTGGGTTAATAAATTAAATGGGAGAAATTGTTGCTTTGCAATCAATTTGGTGGAAGTAAATATTGCAAGTGAGCCTAGAAGAAAGTGAAAGAGCCCTGGGAACCTGCTTGGAAGGGTTAGATGCCAGTCCACGCACCCAGTGTGGCTGTTCCTGCCTCGGATGAGATCCTCTGTTTGTGTCGATGGAGAAAGAGCAGTGCTGCTGTTGTCCGGTGTGTTGACTGTACAGAGGGAGGGAAAGTGTTGTGCGTGACGGCCACATCACCTGGGCCTCCTGGAACAGTCCTGTTTTCAGCTGTTCTGTTCCTTGTCTCCCTACAAGCCATCTGCATTTTACCGAAATTGAAAGATCAACTTCCACACTTCATCTTTGAGATGGGAACTTACACCAGAGGGGCCCAGTGTTTAGTTTAGAAAATATAAGTGGTAGTCATTCTGTTTAAAAGCACGGCTCTTTGACATAGAGTATTTTTAGTGATCTCTTCAAATGCACAGGGGTTAATATGAGCCCCTTGTTTCTTCCCCACCGCTTGATGGCCACAGGTCTAGTTTGGCAAATTATGTATTTCTCCTTCATCCTCAGGGAACATACGAGGTAAGTGAGTGAGCAGGCTTCTGAACTGTTTAGAAATGACTCCCAAGTAAGCCTAGAATCAAGAACTGAGGACTAGATATTATTCCTTTTCCTCTTCCTTCCTTCATTTTGTCAGAAATGTACATATGAGGAATCCTGGAACCAAAAGAGACCTCAGACATATTCTGTCATTGTGCAAATGAAAATACTAGACTCAGAGAGGCCAGGTGCCATGCCCAGGACCATGGAAGAGTCAAGAATCAAATCAGCTCCTTGGAATCATGGACTCAGAGCCCTTCCATAGAAGCACCATCCACATGGGCTGCGAAAGCTGGGTGCAGGGGAGACCCAGCATTTCTCATTCCATGCCATTGCTGGTGACAGAATCCTTGCTGCTCTTACTGGGCCTGTGTCCTTTTTCAGTCCTTTGGAAAGGGCTAGAAAGCTGGTGGCCACTCCCTTAGTGGCTTTCTCCAGAGTGTGCTGCATAGAGCCCTCATTCTGAAATATACTCTGTGGAAAAATAGCACAGATAACTCTGGGAGAGGCTGCCCAGCGCTCCCTGTCATGCTGATTCATGGTGCTTACTAAGAATGCTGAAAGATACTTGGGAACAGTGATGCATGCATGTAATCTTGGCTGCTGCAGGTTAAGGCAACATGATCAAAAGTTTGAGGATACCTTGAACAATTTAATGGGACAAAAAAAAAAAAAAGCAGCAGCAAAAAGCTTGGGTACATAGCTCAGTGGCAGTGAACTTATCAAACCAAAACCAAAAAATGAAACCTAGTAGGAAACATTTATTAAGGATCCATTCTGTGCACAGGGAAGTGGCTTGCATGCATTTATTTGCTCATTTAATCTTCTCTCTCTTTGTTGCACATGCCAGTGGCCTTGTTAATACTGTCATTTGGAGAAGTTTTGCAATAAAGTCTGTCGATCTTTAATCCAGTATTTCACAATTTGCGTAGTCCCAGGAACCTTCCTGGTGAATAACTTTTTAACATTCCTTGAGTGTTTTCAGGGTACCAGGTGTTGTACCTGGTATTAAATGTATTAATGTATTAATTCATTTAATTAATTCATTTAATCCTCATTGAAATCCTATCAAGAACATCTGCATTGTTAATATCTTCATTTGTGAATGAATCAACTAAGGCAGAGAGATTAAGCACCCTGTCCAAAGCTACATAGATGCCAAGTATTAGAGGTGAGCCACTGTGCCCTTCCAGGAGTGGATACCTGCAACACATTCTACAGAGCAGCACAGGCTGGTGAATGGAGCTTGAGTGAACGGGAGGAGAGACCATCTCCTCCCCAGATGAATCGCTTTAGCTGTTCTAAGTGCTTGGTTTCCAAGCTATCCAAGGCCCTGACAACCATTGAGTTCTCCTGAACACCCCCCACCCCCTTCATCTCCTTTCCATTTTGAGTCAGGAAGCAAGACCCCTGGTTCCTTCCTACTGTGTAGGTGGGAGACATGTTGTTCCCAGAGGAAGATGCGCCTCTTGTTGGGAGCAGGAAGCAGGGAACCAGTGGGGAGTGTAGACTTACTACAGCAGGGTGCCATACAGAACACCACCAGCAGGCCAGGGAGAAAAAGCACCGGCGAGGTTTAAACAGTAAAGATGCCTAGTCCAGCTCCATCCCCAGCAATTCCAACTTAATGGACCTGGGATGGAGCCCAGATTATGTTTTGGAGCTTCACTTCTAATGTGAGCCAGGGCTGAGAGCCATGCAAATTAAAGCTGCTCATTTCAGAGAAGGAACTTAGTGTGAAGGAGGTCAAAAGACCGCCCTGCTTCAGCCTTCTTTATGCCCGGCTGAATCCTGATGCAAAGGCAGAGCAGCACAGAGCAGGGCTGGTGTGGCCCACGTGGCCGGGAACCTGTGTCTGCAGGTAGATTTCCCTGTCCCACTGGAAAGCCCCTTTGGGGAGCAAATGCCCCTGGTCTCCTAGAGTGTATCAAGGCGGAGTGGGGGTGCCCCAGTGCCCCTTTGCAGATGCTGATTATGGATGTACTGTGTCTTGTAGCTCTTTCACATCTTGTGAGAGGTGCAGCAACTTCACCAACGAGCCCAAACCAGCAAACGGCTCTCAGTGGTTTTGTCTGTGTTTAGAGCAATGGAGGTCAGGCCCAGATTTAAACCCTGGTCCAAACGACAGCAGGACCACCACAACTTGCATGGTCCTTCAGCTTTTGGCATCTTCTCTCTTGGGGTCTATGTGCCTGGTGTGTCACCACTAGCCGGGGGCCTCTACAAGGAGCCCCTGTACGCCCTTCCTCTACGAGTAACCCTCCTTGCTCTGGAAATCCTCTTTGTCCTTTCTTCCCACATGAAAATGATAGCTTATTCTTAATGGGGGATGGAATATGTACTACCCATAACTCGGCTTTGTGGGGGCAGTCCCACGGGAAGGATCTCCAGGTGGGGTGCTGACTTGACATTGTCAGAGGGTGGGCTTCATACTGATCACAGGTGCATCTAGCACCTTCTCTCAGAGCCAGGCATTTCTGTTGCTGAACTGAAACAAAGCAAATGCAATTAAATGCAGTTGAGGTAAATTTGTCCCTCTTCACTTTGGGGGAAGCATTCCAAGATCCCTGAGGGATGCCTGAAACCACAATTGGTACAGAGCTCTATATACACTATATTTTTTCCTATACACGTATACCTATGTTAAAGTTCACAAAAAAGCACAATTAGAATTGTACTCTAATAAAGCTACTTAAAACTTATGAATCATTTATTTGTGGAATTTTCCATTTAATGTTTTGGGACCAGAGTTTACCATGAGAAATAGACTGGGGAATACAAAACCTATGGCCGGCATGGATTACCACACAGTTTTTAAATCCTCTTCTTCCGAAAAGGCTGCAGTTCCTAAACTGGCCCCAGGGTGGAGCGAGCGCACAGAACTCGTCGCCCCTGCTGGCCTCTGCATGCCAAGCACCAGACCTTGCAGGGTAGAGCCCAAAGCCCACCACTACTGTTTTGCTTTTCTCTTCTTTCCACCCCTTTCTGTTTTCCAGCCCATCTGGGGACACCACACACTCCAACACAGTGATGGCAGGGCCTTGGAAGTTATCCTAAGCAGCAGATTCTGACTTTCTGTCTTTACTTTCTCGAGAGGATTTTTTTCCCTTTCGCGTTACCAGCAAAGAATCACCTTTCTCTGGGGCCCTAGGCAAGAGCAGGGTGGCTTTCCGGGCGAGAGCCATTTGCAGCTTCTTGGCCCAGGTGAGATCACTAGAAGCCCTGATGAGTGAATGTGGAGGCAGGGAGTTGTAGACCAGCGATTTGGGCAAGGGGCTCAGTGAGCCAGCGCCAGGAGCTCTGCCTGTGCCTGAGCTGGATCCTAAAGCCCCAAGTGAGGTTTTTGTGGCCGAGGCTTGTGCTGCATGCCCCAAAAGTATCTACAAGTCAGAAAGCATAGGTTTTTCATTCTTGAGCGGGCGGTAGCTCCATGGAGACCCACGGGGCACTGATGTGGATTTTGCTTGGGTGGGTGGGGGGAATGGGAGGGGCTTTGTTTAGCTGGGTGAGACCCAGGGAGAGGATCTGGCCACTTTCCAAAAGAGAGAGTCCATTGGGAGCTTTTCCCTTCTCCTTTTAGGGGCAGCCGTCCTGAGGGCTTTGTTTGCTGATGTGCCTGCTGGTCAAAAGCTTCATGGTGCCCACCTGCTGGCAGCCCCAGAACAGATGGCCAGGCTGACTAGGAGGGGCGGTGGGAGGCTTTCCTGTCCCTCAAGTCATTCATGTGCCTCCTCCTCTCACTCCCACGGCCCCCAGAAGACTGCTTCTGCTCCTCTCCCAGCTCTCCACCCTCTCTCCCAACTCACTCTTCTGCAGCCAGGTCTCATCCCTAACAGACTGTTCCTGCGGCTTGTGCCAAGCACTAATTTCCCCATGCCACTTCAGATACTCTGTCTTTCCCCATAAAGACTTTTTTATTTGGGGTGGCGAAGCATGACAACTCCCAGGCTTCATTTCTAACCCACTGGAACATTGAACTCTTTTGAATAATTGGATGTAAGGCTTAACGGGTGTGCTGGCTCCCAAAGTGAAAGTGGGTAAGAATGTAGTAGGATCCTAATGTGACAGGAACTGGGGAGGTGTCCGCTTAAAGTGTAACATAAGGTCATTTACACAGAACTGAGACCTTTCATACAACTTTCCCTCATATACACAATATATATACCAGAGTACGGCTGGTTCTAAAAATCATGTGCCTTCTCCACCGTGAAGATTTGGCATGGGATCTATTCTAAACATCATGGCTTCAGTCCCACTTTTTTTTTTTCTTTTTTGCATCAGGGTTTGAACCCACGACTTGCAGGCTTGCAAGGCAGGCACTTATGCCACTGAGCTAAATCCCCAGCGGCAGTTCCACATTTTTAAAGCAAGTTCCAAAGTTGATTTGGCAATGGTGATAATGAATACCTATTTAGTTTTTCAAGAGCACTTTCAAGTGCTGTTCAATGGCTAGACCACTTAAAAATAGCGAGCACCACTTTTAGGTATATTTCTGATAGGTACAAATAAGCAAATCAAAGGATTGAAATAGGCAACTGACTGTGATCATAGCTCTGAAGACTATATCTCTACACAATCTTCCTACATAGGCACAAAAACCTTCGGTGTCCATTCATTCATTCATCCAATAAACAAAAGAGCACTTTAGGCCTATAATTTCAGCACTCTGGGAGGCAAGGAAGGAAGGTCACGAATTCTAGCCCAGCCTAAGCAATTTAGTGACTTAGCAAGACCCTGTTTCAAAACAAAACAAGGTAGGGCTAAGAATGTAATAGTTCATGATGAAAAGCCTGGGTTCAAACCTCAGTTCTAAAAAACAAAAGTGAAAGAACATTTCAGAGAAAAGGGCAGTAAAACTTGTTTTCTAAGCCCCTGGGCCAAATTTCTTTCTGTGTCCTGACAGGGCAAGGGAACGTGGAAGCCCTGGAATCCTTAGCAGAAAGCCAGCAGGGCAAAGATTGCATTTCATGTGCCCCTGTGTCTTGGACCTTCAGAAATCAGATTTTGTTTTTTGTGCTCTCCTATATAGTAGTCCAGATACAGACTATAAAGGATTTTTACGTCTAAAGCTATTTTAGTCCCTGTTTTTGGTGTCTTATTACAAAACTGGCAGTTTGTCAAAAAGCAATTAGCGGTGCGTGATTTAACTAGCATTTGCTGTATTTCTTAGGGGGCACCAGGAGGGTGCTGTAGTAACTCAAGCATGTGGAGCCTGCCTAGCATCGGGGTGTCTTATCCTTGCTAATTTCTCCCCAGTTTGCATATTTTCTCTCATTTGAAGTCCAAATCGTAAAATGTGTGCTTATAATATGATCTGATTTTTAGTGCAAGATGATAGAAGGATTTCTTTGACTAGTCAAATCTTTTTCTTTTAAATTGAATTTTCCCTTAATCAAGTTACATGTGTACATGGTTTAAAAAGTCGAGCTATAAGATTGCGCTTCTAATGAAAACCAGCACAGTGCTGCTCCATCCTGCTCCATTTCAGGCGTGCTCTGCAAAGACAAACACTTTTAATCCTTTCTGTTCTTTCCTCCATTAAGTTACTCCTATGTGTTAGAAATGGCACATGCGCACTCTAATTTCTTGATTGTGTGTATGTGTGCTTAGATTATGCTGAATTCCTATGATGAAAGATATCCAACTCACTACTTGGTCAGTGCATTTCCTAGTTCCTTTCCTCCGCAATATATGAGGGGTGATAAAAATGTATTTAATATTTTTAAAAATTTATGAAGTTGTTACAGTGCAAGGCGCATTGTCACGCATCTCCTTCACTTCGAGCACACCTATACCCTGGTAATTGCCACTCGCTGAAGCAGTTCTGGAAGTCCTCTCACAAGTGTTTTCAGTTGCGCTGTCTTGGCTGCCATGATGTCCTAAATCACTTTAAAACATGTCTTTCAGGTCATTTTGACTCTGGGGAAAAGCCAGAAGTCACACAGTGCCAGGTCTGATGAATAAGGTGGGTGAGGACACACCATCATGATATTTAGCAGAAATTGCCACAAATAGTTGGTCAATGAGGGCTGATTAAAAAATACAATGAATGGGACTTCCGGGAGAACATGGCGGACAGATAACAGCAACTACCGGAGGCTCTCTGAAAAACTAGGCTCAGAAGCCAGGTATCGTGTGGACTAAAGAGACATAAGCAGGTGGAGTTATGCTCTGCTGACTCAGGAACGAACTCGGCTGAGAGAAACCAACTTGGAATGCAGTCCTGGTGCTAAAACAGGAACAGAAAAGTCTCACTGCTGAGGCTGGACCCTGCGCCATTGGAAGCCGCGATTTGGGTTTCCCGCCACGCGGTGGCTGGCTGCCTCTACATCGGCTCGGCAAGGAGAGAGATGCGCGGAAACTCTGAGAACGGGAGTCTGCGAACGGAGTCGAAAACAGGATGGGCAGGGAGGCATGTTCTGACTTGTGGCGAGGTGAGTGAGAGAAACTGACACTCCACCACAGTTTGACTCCAGCGGACTTTCTGGGCCCGAGCAGTCCTGCGGGAGCAGGGCGTGGTGGCGACTCCAGACACACATTCCGCTCTCGGGCGGGATTGGTGAAAGTGCCTGGCCTGCGTGACGCTGCCGGCGGACCCCGTAGGCTGGCCCAACCCAGATCCCAGAGCCTGACGGAGGCCGGGAGGGGCGGGCCCCCGCGTAGGCTGCCTGGTGCACAGCAGTGAGTGGGAACACCTAACCGGTGCAATTCAATCAGACTGTGGCTGACAGGGAGAGAAGCTGGGCCTCTCATATAAGCTTGCATAGATAAGGAACAGAGAATATGGGAAGAGGCAGCAACAAGAAAGTCTCCTCAGCCCCCAATTCTGAGAAACAGGCAATAGCAGACACCGCACCAATACACATAAAGCACCATATAGAGAGCCTCATAGACCAATTCAGGAATGAAGTTATCAACGACCTGAAGCTAGAAGTAGGCAAAATAGTTAGAGAAATGCTAAGCACCACCCAGGAAAAAGCAGATGGTGGAATGGAAGAACAGAAAAAGAGGGGAGAATTGTTTGATGGAGAAAACAGGGAAAGCATAGAATACGTGAAGCAGGTTCAAAGGGACTACCAAGAAACTAAGAAGTCTATCGAAGACTGGCATAACAGCTTGAAAGAAACTAAGGACAGACTATCTGAACTGGAGGGCAGATTTGTAATATGGGAGAATGAAATGAAAAACTTCTTAAAAATAACAAAGAAACAAACAGCAATAATACAAAGACAAGAAGATGATAAGAGGATCCATAACTTAAGGATTAAGAACATAAAAGAAGAAGTAGGGACACAAACAAATGAACTACAAAAGCTACTCACAGAAATAATCCAGGAGAATTTTCCTAATTTAGCAAAAGGTAAAGATACTCAGATGTATGAGGCATACAGGACCCCAGCTACCTACAACCCTAACAGAGAAACACCCAGGCATATAATAATAAAAATTCCAGAAATTCAATACAAGAACAGAATATTAAAAGCTGTCAGAGACAAGAAACAGACCACTTACAAGGGAGCACCCATCAGAATTACAGCAGATTTCTCTGCACAAACCATCAAATCACGAAGAGCGTGGGGGGAAATAATTCAAGCTTTGAAAGATAATAATCTCCAGCCAAGATTGAGATATCCTGCACAACTGTCCCTGGAAATTGATGGAAAAACAAGGTGCTTCCAGGATAAAGAGGAACTGGGGGAATTTGCAACCACCAATTCAACTCTACAGAGAGTATTGCAGGATATTCTAAAAAAAAGAAAAATACAAAGAATCCAGAAATAATGGAGGCCACAATGAATGGAGCAGAGAACAAAGTGAAGAAGACAAACTGACAGCTACTGACAGAATAACAGCTCAACAGAAATGAGGCAGAGAAGATTGGATGATAGGAACAGCTATTTTGGAGAAAATGACATCTTAATAGGTAATACTGATTTAGTATCATCTTGTTTTGAAGTCTCATCTAGCTTTTGTCCTTCTGTCTCCAATGGTCTAAATAGGTTGTATCTTACTGGATTTTATTATGTACGATAGTATAAGCAAAAACCTTTTAAAGACAAGGAGATTATACAGAAACCATTATTCATTTTCTGTTAGTCGATTCTAAATACTCTGTAATGCTGTCATTCTCTTAAATGGTTTTACATTGTTTTGATATACTTAATGCTACAGTATATGAAGTTGTACTCAAGGATTTCAAGGAAAGAGACAATATGGTAACTACTTTTAGGTCAGGATTATCTGGTGGTGAAACACTATTCTGCTTAAATGGTTATGTTTTGATCTGTGCTGTTTTGTTGTTATGCCCTCTTTTATCTCAATCTCCACTCCATTATTTTTTTAATACTTTTTTTTATTTTTATCCTTTTAATTAAAGGAAAAAAATAGCAGGATATATTATAGTAACCCACTTTGACTTTCCATTACCTCGATTTAAAGCCCTGTATTACTCTCACCATCTGGTTTTTAACTGATGTTCCCCTATTCTGTTTTGCTGGATAGTATCAGGTTCGAAAATTTAGGCATCAGCTGTGAAGATAATGAGATTCATTATAACGCCCATTCTCATTGACTTTTATCTACTTTTGAAGGCCTACAATGTCTCAAATGGTTTGGTTTTGTCGGTTTTGTTCTTTACTGTTTTGTTCAATTGTATTATAACTAATGGTATAGGCAATTCTATTAGAGATAGCGGGAGGCATTATGGTAACCATTGTTGATCACCTTGTATTATGTTTTCACATTATCTATTATGTCCACCCTTTTGACTTGACCGATTCTGTTCTGTTATGTCACATTTGGTTTTACTCTCTTCCAAAAAAGTAATAAGAACCGTGAGAGCAATGAAACCCAAAATGTGTAATAGTCATTGTACAAAAGAGAGGAAAAGAAAGTGCTCTAAACTATATAACTGCATGTATATTTAAATGTATAAGATAGAATATGATATCACAGAGTTTTATTGGATCATTGAACAGAACTGTTTGCAGTATCATTGATGGAATGTCCACTTTATAAGCTTTAATTTTGTGACTTGAACAATTATTTCTCAGATGACAATATGTAATCCATTAACTAGTGATTTCCTACTGTTCATTTTTTTCTGCAAATCTGTATAACTTGTACCCTTTCTCTGCTTTTTTTTTCTTTTCTCCTTAAATAAAATTTAAAAAATTAATAAAAAAAATACAATGAATGCTTAAATTTTAAAAATCTATTATGGTGAATTTGTTGCCATTAATCTCCCTCAAAACACTCCCTCTCATTTTGAACACACTTACTCCATTGTTCTTGGCAATATGTCTTCTACTGCAATTCATTTTAAAAATTTAAGCACTCATTATACAGTTCTGTCAACTCTTATTGATATCACTGTTTTTGTCAAAGCAGTGGACAGTGATTACATTATATCTCCATAAACATAATTTACAGCTGAGCCAAGCAGTATTCCCTGCTTGGACAGACTTTACTTTTTGTACAGACTTTCACTTTCCATGGAGTTAATGATTACCTCTTTAAAAACAGTGGGTTTCTTTCCTTCTTTTTAAAAATTTTTTATTTAAAGAAAGACTAAACAAAACAGAAAATAGGTAGAGATAATACATACGTTCAGAGAAAAAATAAACAGTAAGAAATCACTAGTTGATGTTTACATATTGTCGTTTTACAAATAGTTGTTCGGATACAAAAATGGAACATGTAAAGTGGGAATTCAAACAGTGAGACTGCAAACAGTTCTGTTTAACTGTCCAACAAAAACTTAATAACATGGGTGTCAATCCTATATACTTAAACATACATGCAGTTATCCATATCTTCATTAATGTTTAGATTAAACAAACTAAAGCAGGTTAAAATAATTCTGAACAAAGAATAATAGTATTGCTAGATTTCACATCTTGACATTCCGTGATCAGCATGGGTATTGTAGTCTTTTTTAAAAATTTAATTTAAAGAAAGACTAAACAAAACAGAAAATGGGTAGAAATAATGCATAATTTCAAAGAAAAAATAAACAGTAAGAAATCACTAGTTGATGATTCCAGATTGTCTTCTTAAAAATAGTTATTCAAGATACTAAAGTGGAGCATATAAAGTGGGGATTCAAACAGTGAGATTGCAACCAGTTCTGTTCAACTATCCAACAAAAACTTAGAAATATGGTTATCAATTCTATACACTTAAACATACATGCAGTTATCCATCTTTTCAATTATGTTGAGATTGAATAAACCCCAGCAGACTAATATCACTCTGAACAAAGAATAATACTATTGCTGGGTTTCATATTATGACACTCCAGGATCAACACTGGGTATTTAGGTGTCTCTTTTTCTTCAAAGTATCTGTTTATTTCATCATATGTCATAAGATCAGTTCTCATAAACTGTTTATAGATTCTACAAAGGTATGAATCTTAACATGTATTTCTACCCTTTCTATATTAGAGGAAGAAACAAAACAAAGCAAGACAAAGCATAACATATTCCTATAAACACATGAAATGAAAAAACATATAAGATAGTTGTATAAAGAGTTCTACCATGGTTCCTGTGTTGTCTCTTGTTATCTCCAATAGAATTGGCTATATCATCAGACCTAGTATAATTGAATATATGAGTACATAACAATATTAATAAAAACACAATTTTGAATATAGTATAGAACTTCAAAAACTGGCTGTTATTAAACCAGAATGTGTATCATAAGAGTCTTGTTATCTTCAGTGTAGTTGCCTATTTTCTCAGACTTGATATTATCAATCATATGAGTTTTGAATAAAATCTTCTCTGCCTCATTTCTGTTATGCTCTTTTTTTTGCCTTCAGTTGTCTGCTTATTTCTTCATGTTTTTTTCTGCTCCATTTATCCCCGTCCCAGAGAGCCTCTCTGCCACTGTTCCTGGAATCCTGGTACTTTTCTCTCTCTCTAGAATGCCCTACAGTATTCTCTGTAGAGTTGGATTGGTGGTTTCAAATGTCCCAAGTTCCTCTTTGTCTTGGAACCATTTTGTTTCTCCATTAATTTCTAGAGACAGTTTAGCAGGGTATTTCAATCTGGGATGGAGGTTATTTTCTTTCAGGGCTTGGAATATTTTGCTCCAGGCTCTTCTTGACTTGATGGTTTGTGTCAAGAAGTCTGCTGTTACTCTGATGGGCCTTCCTTTATAGGTTATCTGTTTCTTGTCTCTAACAGCTTTTAATATTCTGTTCTTATATTGAAGTTCTGGGATCTTGATTATTATATGCCTGGGTTTAGCTCTGATTGGTTGTAGGTGGCTGGAGTTCTGTATGCTTCATATATCAGAATATCATTTCCTTTTCTTATGTTTGGGAAGTTTTCCTTAATTATTTCTGTGAATAGCCTTTGTAGTTCCTTTGTTTGTACTCCTGCTTCTTCATTCACATTCTTTATTCTCAAATTATAGATCCTCTTGTCATCTTCTAGCCTTTGTATTGTTTCTGCTTGTTTCCTTGTTATTTTTAAGAAGTTTTCTCTTTCATAATCCCACATTGCAAAATTGTCCTCCAGTTTGGATAATCTATTCTTAGTTTTTTTCAAGCTGATTTGCCATCTTTCCATAGAGTTTTTAATTTCCTGGTAATCTCTTTGAATCTGATTCATGTATTCTATATATTTTTTATATTCTTCACCAAATGGTTCTCTCCTTCGTTTGAGTTCCTCCCTTCTTCTGGCTGTGTCTGCTTGAGGGGTGCTTAGTATCTCTTTTATTGATCTCCTTATATCTTGCTTTACTTGGCTAAATATTTCACTTTTGAATTCATCTGTAAAGTCCCAAATGTATCTCTTTATGTCCACTGGCGCAGTGTCTGATATTGCATGTTTGCTGTTCTCATTCTCCTTTGTATTTCCCTGTCCTGGGTCAATGTTCTCAGGGTTGGGACCTGGGGACTTTTTGTTGTTGTTTCCTCTTCCCATCTTTTTTGCTTCTTCCAGGAAGCCCCAGTTTCTTTCTTTGTACAATTCTTCTGAAGCATGCTGGCTAGATGACCTTTCCCACTACCTTGTGCTAGTGAGTTGCAGACAGGGACAGAGTATGCTGGCCCCTCCCCTTCCTGATAGGTCAAGCTGCTAAGGCCTGCACTGTATTACTTTGCATCGTCTCCCCTCCGGGTCAAACTTCTGAGGCTTCACTGGGTTAATGTGGCAAACTTCTGAGGCTTCACTGGGTTAATGTGGTTAATGTGTGCCACCGCTATAGGGACTTGATTTCAGATAACCTATTGAGTCTCAGCCACGTCATGTGACCCAGGCCTAGCTCACTCCACCAATCCCATTCAGGAAGGGAACAAGTGACTGAATTCACAGCTGCCCCTTGTATTTGCCAGTCCTGTCCGGCCCCAGAATGTCATCCTCCGGACCCCCCCTTTCTGTGGAATGGCTCCACTCCTGTCACTCACCACAGGTCAATGTAGGCACTGTGCCAACTCAGCTCTCCGTTTGGCTCACCAACCCCCGAACTCAATGTAACTGCGCCTCCAGTGAGTTGAAGTGGAGGGACCTCAGACAGCTTGGCATATTGTGGCAGGACCTCGGCAAGTCATGGCAGGACCTCGGATGGTCAACAAGTCACCCACTGTGGCGGGAACACTGAACCTTTAGCTGTTCCAATAAAAGCACAGGGACTGTATGTTTGGTTCATTCTCCTCACCTTAATTTTTTTCTTGGGATGAGAGAATTCATCTCCCTCTGTTTGGGGCTCTCCACTCTGTATTATGTTGAATTCTATGTTGACTATTTCAGGGAGCCTCTGTAGCCAGCTGTTATCTATTTGCCATCTTTGCTCCTCCTCCAAAAAACAGTGGGTTTCTTTATTTTTCTTTTCTTACTTTATGTACCTTTTAAAAAGTCACCTTCAAATTGTGATAACTAAAATTGTGTTCAGCATGTTGGCTGTGGTTTTGGGCTTGCAGAGTCCTTCCTTGATCCTGTTCTTCTGCTTGACCTGGAGCAATTGTCCCTTAAATCTGCGAAGTAGCTTGCAGGCCTTCTCACCACCATCATCCCTTGCTTTCCAACATCAGCCTTTGGTTCTCTCTGTCACTCACCCTGGGTTGGTTTGCTTTGCGGTGTTGGCTCCTTTTTTTTTTTTTTTTAATTTTTAAAAAATTGCCTCTGCCTCAGGTGGGTAGGGTCAGGATGTCCTCATCAGTTCATAGAAGGTGATAGAACTGTGGAGGGGAGGAAGAGGAGGAGGACCGGTGGCGGCTGAAAAGATAAGAAGTATAAAATATAAATAACCTTTATTTTGGGAATGCAGGGAGACACACCCCCGACCCCCTGGGGCGTGGCATCTCCACCCCGGGGCCAGTGATCTCTCTGTGGAAGATGTGGAGTGAGGCACATAAGTAGCCTCGGCCTGGGGTGGAAGCTAAGGGGGCTTTAGGGATGCACAGGTAGCCCATTGGTCTTAGTTTGGCACCAGAGGTAATTCCTAAGGGTGGGGGGAGATAGGAGCTCCTTGGCTTTACTGGCTACAGTATCCGGCCTGGGCCAAAACCCTTTCATAAGGTAGTTTGATGTTTAAACCAGACAAGTAGGGGAGAAGAAAGGCAGTCAGGGCCAAATTCAAGCTCTAAAGGGTCCTGCGTGCTGATGTGTGTTAAACTGCATCCTCCCAAGGATGCACTGATGTTCTTACCCCAGATTCCCATGAATGTTATTTTATTTGGAAATAGAGTTTTTGCAGATGGAATCAAGCAGTGAGGTAAGTGACGATCACCTGAATGAGAACAAGCAAAAGCTATTCAGGGCTCACTAGTGCAGGGGTGGGGAAGGGTCCGCTATTCACTGTAATCATTTATGTCTGGCAGAGTCAAGGGCAGGCAGAGGAGTGGGAAAGGTGTACAGTGGAAAGAAGGGAGCTTGACCCCAGTCAGTGACTGTTGGAGTAGGCAGATTGTTGGTAGGTCAGTTAGCAGAGGGCACCCTGTGTGGATGTTTAGGGGAGCATATCTGGCTTCCTGTGGTTGGCCCTAAGTTGGAAATAGGGGCAGATGAAGAAGCTGTTTGTACTACTCAAGTCCTGGCTGTTTTGGGGCCATTTGAAACAGGGGTTATTTTTTAACTTCTTGACTAGCTGCAGACAGTGGGTCAGAGTTCTATTTTTGTATATGGTCTGGTGTTGTCTTTGTTCAGCTTCTTGTGAGTTAGAGTGAGGCTATTAGCATGGGTCCTAATGTATCTAACCTTTAAGAAGAGAAAACAGAGCCACAGGGACAGATGCATAAGGGAAGGCTGTGTGACCATAGACATAGAGATGGGAGTGATGTGGCCACAGCCAATGGTGCCAAGGATGAGTGCAGCTTTGCAGGACCTGCCCAGGGAGCATGACTCTGCTTATACCTGTGTCAGGCTTCTGGCCTCCAGAACTGTGAGACATGAGATTGTGTTGCTTTATGCCACTAGAACATGGTGCTTTGCTATGACAACAACCAAAAACAAGTACAGCTAAAATTCTGTATATGAACTCTGGGTCCATGGGTGGGTGTGGATGAACAATTTCTGTGCACATGGTCAGTGGACCACCAGCTTGGAGTTCAACAGGCAACATCCTAAGAATGTTGCTACCTGGACTCTTGCACACATCTGGGAAAACTGGGTCTTTTGGGGAAGGGACCAGAGAATCTGGAATTCAGAAAGCTTGCTGGGCAATTCTCAGGCTCACTGAAGTCCCAGAAACATTTCTTTTATGGGAGCCATGGGAGAATTTGAGGGAAGGAAGCAATAAATCAGATGAGTGCCTAGAAATTTTATCCTAAACAACCCATTTCCTCAGCAAATATTTTACAACTAGTATAAAATGGTAAAGAAGAGAAAATCTGAAGTTTAAAAATGTTTGAGAAAATTGTGATAATCAATTGCAATATGTCCTCCTTCTCTAGAATGATTTAAAAAATATCCCAACACCTCTGAGTTTCAGTTGTAGGCAGAGTTCAAGTTCTTACTTGTAGGGATCCTGGGCTCCATGCAAATCAAAGAACACAGCAGAACATCCACACATGTGTCCCTGAACATTCCATGAGAGTTACCAGAGCCATGTACTCAGATTTCAGGGGCCCAGCAGAAGGTTGGACTAGAGTGAAAGGCAAAGTGTCACACAGAACCTGAGAAAGGGACTTGAGCCTAAAGGGCACTGGGTGCCAGCGAATGCAAGAGGCTAAGCCACCAGATCACTGCTGACTCGACTCTTCTCCCCACCTTCTTTAGTCCTTGTGGTGCCTTCACACTCTTGGAAAGAGAGGGTAGCAGTGCAAATGGGGAGTTGCATTACAGTTTCAACATCCTACCTTGAGTCTCTACCCCAGACAAGCTGTCAGTTGAAACTGACTGAGACAGAGAATCACAGCCCAGCTTGGTGGTCCACAGGAGCTAAATGAGAGGCAGAGGTAGTCTCAAGCTGGGTGGCAGTGGACTGAAGACAGTAAGATGACAGGGATTGATGCAAAGGAAGAAGCAGCAGGAGCAGTGCGACCTGCAGGGGACAGCTATGCTCAAATGTAAGGAATGTCTCCTCTCCTCACACCTTGAGGGAACCGTTGGAGGTAATGTCACCTTACTCAGGCATTTACATTGTTCTCAGAATATTTTTGTGAGGGGAAATCTGAGGAACAGACTAAATATTTTAGTAAGAGCTAAAGTAAGCCCTTTGGTAAGGGCTCCAACAACCTAGCAAGGGCTCTCTCCCTGAACAAATGAACTCTTTCCTTGCATTGATTCCAGATGTTGACAGTTTTCTTAAGACACTGACAGTTTTCTTAAGTTCTCCCACCTAATTAATACTAATTGAAAAAACACCAAACTCTTGCCAGGCGTGGTGGCTCATGCCTATAATCCCAGCACTCGGGAGGTTGAGGTGGGAGGATCGTTGCGAGTTTGAGACCAGCCTGGGCTACAAAGTGAGCTCAAAGCCAGCCTGAACTGCATAGTGAGACCCCGTCTCAAAAAAGTCAAAATAAAATAAAATAAAACCCAAGCTCTTCATTTTTTCACCCAATTTTATTGTGATGTAATTAACAAATGAAAATTATGTACATACAGTATGTACAAAATGATTTGATACATGTATTTGAAGTGTACTAAAAATAGGTTAATGTTCAAATTTAGATGTATTACAGTAAAAGACACGTGATCATGAATCCACCTTAGAATATTCCGCCTCATTTCAAGCACACTGTCCTCATTGTTCTTGCTACTTCCGAAGCAGTTCTGGAGGCTCGCTTTTGTGAATGTCTTTCTTTGTGCCATCTTGGCTGCCAAGCGGTTCCAGATCCAATGAATGAGGTGGATGAGGACATGTTGCAATGGTTACAAGGCTGCCTTTCCATTGGGTGGCACTCAGTAGCAGCACTCCCCATAATTCGTGTCATAAAAGACATGAAAGAGGATTTCCAGAACTGCTTCAGACAGTGGCAAGAAGATGGGACAAATGTGTTCAAAGGGAGGGAGAGAATTTGAAGGAGAATAATGGCAACATGCCTTTTGTTATATTGAATTTCTTAAAATCTTAAACATGCACTGTATGTTTCAGTCTCACCTGCTGCCACAACCGAATTAGTGCACACATCCATTGCTTCACATAGCCCTCATCTCGGGGAAATGGCGAGAACATGTAAGGACTACTTCCTTCTGAAGCGCACCTCCTTTCCCATGCCCTGGCTCCCTTTCCCTGGTCACAGAAGAGTTCAAGGAGACACAGCACAGGTGATACCAGGCATCCCAAGAAAATACTGCTATCTCGAAGGTTGTGGAAGTGTCCTGGAACAAGAGTGCTTTTTCAAGATGCAGAGTTGAAATAAGACAAAGCTCACCAGGTTCCATCAGGAGGAGGTGAACTGCTTGGGGGAGTGGTGGCAAACAGATGGCTTGAGTGTCATATTGGCTTCATCTTGCTGGCCAGCTGGCACTAGGAAAGCATGTCCTAGGCCGGAAGGGAGTTAATGAGAGGAGGGAAGAGAAATTCAGGTATCCTGAACTTTACTTTTCACTCTTTTCCTATTCCTATTCCAGACAACAGTGGTCTCTGAGTCTACCACACTGGCTTTGCTGGGATGTGAGGGTTATATCTTTAGTTGGTGACTGGTTTGTCCTATCTCCACTTATTTCTGGGTCACCCTAATGCCCCAACTGTTCAGGCTGCTGTTTGCATATGCTAGCATTGGGCCACTGATGACTGCAGACCCAGAGTGACGACCTGCTGGACAAAAGCTTTGCCAGGCAGTGACTGATGGGCTCCCACAGATCTGAGTGTCTGACTTCAGCTGCTGAGTACCTTGCAAAGCCTAGCAAAGCAGCTGTTTGCCAGCGGGCTGCAGAAGCATTCCCCAGGGGACTTGGGGCAGCTCAACTCTGCACCTTGAATTGATAAAACAAGAAGGCTGGCATTTTGGCTAAGAGGACACTGTTATTTGTCCCTGTGTGTGTACAGATTACAACTAATACATGTGGTATACATTTGAATTGATAACTTTGGTGCACTCTGGGAGCAACTGCATTGGACTTCACAAACTTTTTTTTTTTTTAAGTTTTTTGTCTTAAGAATTTTTAAAATGATTTCTTAAACTGGATGTGGTGGTACAACCTGTAATTCCAGCACTCTGGGAGGATAAGGTAGGAAGATCACAAATTTGAGCAGCTTGGGCAACTTAGTGAGACTCTATGTCAAAGTGCAAAATTAAAAAAGAGTTGGGGATGTAGCTCATTATGAAAGCCTTGGGTTCAGTCCCTAGTAACTTTCCCCAGTGTTCTCCGTCCTTATTTTATTTTTTGAGTTAAATTGTTGCCAATAATTCTTACTCTGTGCTGTTGGTAATCGGTATATTTGGACACTAAATGAACTCTAAGAAGAGGTTTGATGAAATGTACCCTGTTTGTAAAAATAACAATGGAAAGACAGGATGGGAAATCACTGCCAGTGTCTCTGGAAACCGCTGTGCACTTGGTGGAGCTAGGGACTCCACAGGATACCCTAATCTGAGGGACAAACTATGGAGAAGGAGGTGTTTACGTCTTGTTGGGAGCCGCCGACACCGGTCGCCTTACTTGGCGGACGTAGGGCCTGTGGGTGGGAGCGGAGCCTGAGCTAGATTGCCCCTCCCATCGAGTGAGTCAAGTTGGCGCCTGCTTCCTGCCCCCTGATTGTGCTGGCGACTTAAACAACCCGCTCTGTAAGATAGTCTGCCTAGCAACAGCTGATGTTAGCCAGTCAG